AATTATAACGTTTAAAAAGCTGGTGCAAAGTAACATTTTCTTATATTGTATAACTCTAAGCCCTTTGGCTTAGAAAATGAGAGAAATATTCCTCTGCTTTTCATCACTTATAGGGATATTCTTGGTATTATTATATAAATTTTATTTTTATTAAATATACCATAAAATTCCAAATGTGTGTTTTGAATTACTGGCAGAAAAGTGTTGGTAATTTTTTCCAGTGTGACTTAACTGTCATTATAATTAAGTAATTGTCTCCCCCAAAATGTTTATTTAAGCAATAAATTTCTGCATATTTGAAAACCTAATAAAAAGTTTTATTAAAGCTGTTCACTCAAAAATGGACAATTGTGCCCTGCTGAGCAGTAGTTTAACACCAAATCAATGATTTTGCTATTATGTAGACAAGAAAGTGACCTATCATTGACATTAGTAATATTTCCACCAAGTTGAATGTGATGAGGGAACTGTTTGCTGTTACCCTGGAAACTATTCAAAAGGTTTAGGGCTGCTGAAAAACAGAAGACTCTGGGGTGACCCCCGGGATTCCGTTGTCTTTCAGACCACCTAGGATCCACATTTTGGGAATGTATTCTGTATGTCTGAACATGCTTTATTGCCATTTTAGACTGATTGTAGCTAATTTTAAGTTTACGAGACCACCTCTCTTTTTCCCTATATTTCCAGACTTTCTGGAAGACTTTCTGAAATCATTCAAGTTTATTCTCATTTTTTTATATCTCAGGACTAGTCACTCAATCTTTAACCACTTTTGATCAAGAGATTACTGTACCCTTCTGACACAACTTAAGATCATAAAAAAAGTTGTTACAATTCAATGACTTTTTCTTATATTATAATTCATGCCCTGGCTGAATGATTCTGTTTCTTTTTTTTTTTTTGAAACGTATCTTAGGTTTTTCTGGTTCTCAATCAATCTACATGAGCACTCATTCCTTATTTATTCTGGTTCCTACTACATCTTTTATCAGTGTCTCTTTTTGCATTAATTGATCAGTATCTCTTTTTTTTTTATATGCAGAAAAAATAGAGTGTGCTTGTAAATGTTTAAGTATTAGCCAGCTATGTAATTTCCTAACACCATCTAATATGCTTATTATTAAATCTAACTCATTTTCTATGCCTTTTATTTGCCCTACACACTATTAAGGACAGAAGAGCAATGGAGTCAGTCTACAACCACAGAACCAGAATCCCTTACTCCCACAGAGAGATTGCCTGTGGGCTTTAGGTATCAGTTTACTTGTCTCTAGAGCTCCAGTTCAAAGGCACCAATAGCCCCATGGGTAGAGTCTGAATCTCTGTTCTATACGACATGTTGACGAATGCATTGCTTCTGCCTTAGTTATGTCGGAGCACATTAAGTGTCAACTAGCAGTACGGCACAGGAACACTACATGCGATCTGCTCACCTGAGTTGTGCTGCTTTCAGAAGAGAAGGCACTGGTTTAAATCTGCATGGCAAACCTGCCTGAGCTAGAATTTGATGAGAACCCTCGGGTTAATAGCTTTGCTCTTTGAGAGCGCTCTAAGCTATTTTCATTCCAGGCCAATTTTACATTTACACACTCCCTGTCACTGAAACCCCAAGGTCCTTTGCCAATGAGAAGCAGATATTTACTCACTACAGTTAATGTATCTCCCCAGTGCTTTCTAGCCTTTGGACACAGTTTTTGGGCAACAAGGAAAATAATACATGTGTATAAATGGCCATTTGTGTTCCTAAAATAGCAAGGGGCTATAACCCAAAGCCTAGAATTATTTGTTGGTTTTTTGTTGTTGTTTGTTTTGTTTTGTTTGGAAACAGAGTCTTGCTTTGTGGCCCAGACTGGAGTGCAATGGTGCAACCTAGGCTCACTGCAAACTCGGCCTGCCCGATTCAAGTGATTCTCCTGCCTCAGCCTCCAGGGAACCTGGGGTTACAGGCACCAGTCACCACGCCTGGCTAGTTTTTGTATTTTTAGTAGGGATGGGGTTTCACCCTGTTGACCAAGTTGCTCTTGAACTCCTGACCTCAGGTGATCCACTGTCTTGGCCTCCCAAAGTGTTGGGATTACAGGTGTGAGCCACCATGCCCGGCCCTAGAATTCTTTTCCTTAAAGACAATTACAATGGTAGCTCCGTTTAAAATCTCACTATAAATCTATTTCATTTATTACTGTGCTATTTTAATATATCGTTATTCCACTTAAAAGAAAAATGTATCAGATAAATCAGCAAGGGGGCAATAACAAATGTGGATTAGGGTACACAACCCACTTTGGGACCATATTCAATGAAGAATAAGATGAGGGCAAGAGAATGTGATTTCCTTTATTATCATTATTATTGTTATACTTTAATTTCTGGGATACGTGTGCAGAATGTGTAGGTTTGTTACATGGGTATACATGTGCTGGGGTGGTTTGCTGTGCCCATCAACCCGTCATCTCCATTAGGTATTCCTCCTAATGCTGTCCCTCCCCTAGCCCCCCAGCCTCCGACAGGCCCTGGTGTGTGATGCTCCCTCCCTGTGTTCATGTGTTTTCATTGTTCAGCTCCCACCTGTGAGTGAGAACATGGGGTGTTAGGTTTTCTGTTCCTGTGTTAGTTTGCTGAGAATGATGGTTTCCAATCCTGATGAAACTGGATTTCTTAAGATCAATAGTAATTACGGAGTGTGCAGTCCATGAGTGAGTTAGGATGTTTTCTGTTACATGTGAGGGAAAGCCCAACTCAATCTTCCTTAAGCATAAAAAGATACCTTATTGGCATGTATGAGTAACAGTTCAGGAGTAGATCCTCAAGAGTGGCTTATTTAAGGCCTCAGAGGTCATAACCAGAGTCTAATTTATTTCATCTTATATGTATTGATTAATCTTCATCTATGTAAGCTCTATACTTCAGCTCCAGTTCCTACTCAGAAAGAGGGTGACACTTCCTGGTGGACATAACTGAAACCCCAGAATAGGGTCATGGAAGCCCTGAGTTAGCCTAATGTGTGAAAGAGCCCACCTCAGAACCAATTGTGATGCTCAAAGACGTGGGAAGTGCTGATTTTGAAACTCCATCACTGAAGCAGTGAAAAGGAGGCCTGGCATGACTGGCCCCATTTTGCTCCTAAGCCAGCCTTTAGGTGAACTGCTTTTGCTTATCTCTGCATGTTGGCCAAGCTGATTATGGGAGGAAATTAGTTTATAGTTTCACTTTAAAGAAAAGTTTGTAATAATCCCTCCCCAAAACCACGGAGGAAACAAAAAGGGTGTACACATAAGTAAGAACGTTATGTTAAAGATTATAAGAGCATTGTGACGTGACCAAGGACGAAGAATTTCATAATCCACTCCGCTGAACTCTCATTGCTCTCCAGATATATGTGGTCATTGGTTGCCTCGTGATTTCAACTCCTTCCCTCTTTCCCCTTCTCCTAACTTAAAGGGAGCTTAAAATTCTATTAGGATGGTTCTTTAGGACGCTAATCTGCCATCTTCTCAGTTTGCTTGTTCTCCAAAATAAAGTCAGCTTCCTTGCTGCAACACTTGTCTCTTGACTTATTTGCCGTTGCGTGGCAAGCAGTACAAGCTTTGAACTCAGCTACATGTCTCCAAGTCTATGAAAATGATGTCCTCTTAGAGTCCTTGTGTTCACACCTGTCTCCATCTCCTGGGCCTGGGGATGTAGTCAGCTTGACCTAAGCAGAGGAGATGGTGTTTTCTCTCAAGCTGTATGTGAATTTCCTGTTGCCATAAGAAGGTTGATGCTGGGGCTAACAAAACATCAAAGTCTATTATAGATAATATTTCATTAAATCTATGGATACTTCTAGTTTTGTTAGCTTCCATCCAATTGTCAATGCCACTTCATGAAAATTAAGACAGGAGCATATTTTTTGGAGCACTTAATATAGACTAGATCTTATGTTAAATTATTTAGACTAGGCAGATATTTATCATGGCAGTTGTGTGAGTAATTATAATTGTGTCTTCTTAGAGCTGAGGAAACATATACCAAAAAATTTTAAGTAATATTGACAAGCCCACATAGCTAGTGAGAGGAGAAACAGGAGCTTAGAAACAAGCTTGTCTGACTCCAGAGCCTGCACCTGTGCTTATAAAGACAGAATAGAGAATGCTGTTTGAAAACATAGGTTCAAATGTACGTTTCACCACTTAGTAGCTATACTTCTTTGAATTCTCCACCTAGATTTGGGATATTTTCTTCTATAGCTAATGCCTAAACACTTAAAAGTATTGTTCCTTTAAGGACAGGCACCTTCAGAGCCTGTCAGAAGTTGCGATCAAACTTCTTCCTTAGTCCTGCAATTTCTATTAGCCTCTTTTTCTATGTCAGTTACTCTAGAGTTTACTTAAGTTAATCAACCTTCACTTCAAAACTTCTTCCCTGGAATCTTTTCCCTTTTCCTTTCATGCAGCTGAGCTCAGAGTCTATGCAGTCTTCTAAGCAGGAGTATCTTTATTTATTTATTTGTTTGTTCGTTTTATTTTATTTTTTTGAGAGTCTTGCTCTGTTGCCCAGGCTGGAGTGCAGTGGTGTGATCTCAGCTCACTGCAACCTCCACCTCCCAGGTTCAAGTGATTCTCCCACTTCAGCCTCCCAAGTAGCTGGGATTACAGGTGCCCACCACCATGCATGGCTAATTTTTGTATTTTTAGTAGAGATAGTCTTTCACCATGCTGGACAGGCTGGCCTCTTGACCTCCTGACTTCAGGTGATTTGCCCGCGTCAGCTTCCTAAAGTGCTGAGGTTACAGGCGTGAGCCACCACGTCCGGCCAAAGCAGGGGTGTCTTTAATGCTGCATCTTCAGTGCCTTCCACAGAGCCCGGCATGCAATAGAAGTGTGTGCTAACTCCTCCACTTATCCCTGGGGCAGGCCCAACTCCTCCAGCTTTAGTAGTAGAGTCAAGGAGATCCCAGAAAATCTGTTTTCTCTGTACCCAGCCTTTTAAGGCATCATGAGCAAGACTCTGCCTTTTCTTAGTTTTTCCAGGTGGTGAAGATGTGGAAGAGGAGAAACCACATAAAAATGCAATCACATGAATAAATGTTGCCTACAATGGCTGAATTCGACTGAAGAACTTACACACTAAATCAGGATGCACAGGCTCATGTTTATGCCTTTGTCCCAGGCACCAACTTCTGTTGAACTTCTTTGCTGACCCTGCCTGAAGGTGGAGTTAACTAAATGTTGTGTAGATCTGTCTCATATCACTATTTAGCCCATTTGCAGGTAGGTATGATATTGTTAAAGTGGTGAAAATGCCCCACATTTGACTCAGTTGGATATTCTGCTCCAGCAGATCAGGTTCTAATTGGAATCTTGGTTCACTTCACTTTTGTGGGCTAAGATATTCTATTTGTACTTGATTGAGCATTGTATTAATGATCCTTGATAATGCAGCTCGTCAAATGTAATAGATTTCTTTTGTAATTGACTGGCCATGCCCACTCAAGAGATATATGTTTGTTGCCTGGTTGAGTGTCTAAGTAAAGAATTAAATGAATAAATGAAAGAGTAACCTAAGAAATAGACGACACTGGAGCAATGAACTGAGACTTCATTTATTAGGAAGTAATTATTGATAATTTTGTATACGATCTTAAACTATAACTAATATACTCAAAATGCAATAATAGACAAGATAGAAATGGTCCCTTCTTTCATACTTGTGGTTGAAATATATTGTGTTGCTGATGCTCCATAGCTTTTTTACACGTGTTGTTTTCATTTGTTTCAACTAACGGTAAGGAATGTGGATATTTGAATTGGCCAGTGCAAAATGCAGTGACTTGGAAAGAGGGAATCACCCTTAGTGAATCATAAACAATATTTGAAGGTCCTTCAGTGGTTTATTAACTTCAAATAATATAACTAGATGGGTCTTGGTTTTACAAGTAACCAGGAAGTAATGCAAAAATCTTAGCAGGGGGTGGTATCAAAAATATAAAGTTTGTGTATAAAAAGCCTTTGAACTCATGAATTTGACATAGACCTTAACTGAAAATGCAGTTATTTCTTGTCAGTTTAAAAATAAATAAATAATTTGTTAAATTGAAAGCAAGGGATCCCTAATCAACTTAGCTCACAGGTAATTTAAAATAAACATAATGCTTATTAACAGTTCCAATATTTGACTTTTTGCTCAACCTAAATTTAGCAATGTGATGCGCTGAGATATATCACAATAAAGAACAGTTGCTTTAGTTTTGTGTTATTTTGTTTTAATTTATTCCACACACGAGTTTCTGCATGAGCCTGAATCTTTATAATGTGAAAGCTGTTTGGATTCAGGTAGGAAATACGTTTGAACTGATACATACCAAGTTTACAAAAGTTCACCTTTTTATCTTACTGCTTAGCTGTTGAATAACACAACTTTTGCTTAGTCAAGCCTTCTTTCATTTTCTTAAAGATGAAAATATAATTCTTGAGTTACTTCTGAAGAACAAGTTGGGGAAATGCAAATAAGAACATTACTCTTCTAGAGTACAAAAAGATTACCAAATTTAGGTTTTCTGGTCAGTAAAATTATATTTTCCTAACTTGTTTACTAATTAGAGTCATTTAATTAGATTATCATTTCTTCTTTTTCCCTTGCCATCTTTTTAAATGATGATATTTCCAGAACTGCTGTATTTAACTGTTCAGTGACATTACATTCACGAAGCTGACAATTATTCAGAAGTAAGTTTCCTCTGTAACTCTCCCATTCTTCATATTCTTTGTTTCTAATTTATATTTGAGTCTGAAAATTGATAAAGTTACTAGTTTAGAAATAATTAACTGTGATTTTTTATTTTCAGAAACATAAATGAGGGTGCACTTCTCCACAGAACCTTTTTCACATTCTTTTAACAACCAAATCATTCCCAATTTTCTGGTGTGTAAATTCAATGTGATCAGCACAAATAAACAAACTGACAAGATTTGGGCAGTTGGAACCCATTGTTTTACAACGTCTTTGTTTAAAATCTTTCATAATTCATCCACAGCAATGGCCTTCCTAGTAATTAGTTACCTTTAATGTCTTCATTTTCGTTTAAATGTTCAATGATCAGGATAATTAGAATTAATTTCTCATTGTCATTTTATGGTAATGAAGCTTCTGCCACTTATCACAAGCATCCTGCAGGCACAGTGTTAGCAGACAAATATGTGACTCCTCACACTTCACACACTGGTTTATGGTCCCTGGTTAAAGTGATAACAGTAGGACCTGGCCTGATTCCAGTTTAAATATATGCCATATTCGATGAAAGACTGTGGGTAGTCAAGCCGATATTCTTGCCCCTTGTGGAAGGCATTCTATGTGCAACTCAGTTCTCCTTAAGCAACACAAGAGAATTTTCATCTCCATTGGTCTGGGTGTTTTACAGAGTGGGATTAGTTCTACGGTTAGAACAAAAGGAAATATCTTTGTGAATGAAGATGGATAGCAATGTCAATTCAAACCTTTATAAAAACTTCAGATAGAATTCAGGAAAGCAAAGGTCGAGAAACCGAGTACCAGAAAATCTATGAAGAAGAAAGTAAGGCAGTGATTTCTCAAACTACAAGAGCCTTCTTGCATTATCTGGTCTAGGATTTTCCAGTCACCAAAAAAAAAAAATTTAATTGTGTATTATCCTTCCCATTCATTCCCTGCCATATCTCTGCCTCAGCAACTGCAGCGGAGTTCATCCTATCATTTGCATTCTCTCCCTTATTCCTGGGAAACATTTAGATAGGGTAAAGGATTTGATTGAGCAGAAACGTGGGGTGAGAAATAGGGAGCATATCTAGGTTTGTCAAAGAAGGTATTTAAGGCTGCCCTGTGAAATCATACCAGTTTCAAAATTAGAAACTTGGTATTTTTTACAGCTGAGTTTTCTTCACCACATTTTAAACTTTTTCTTTATTCTACATTTTCTCAAGAAGAGATATGATATTAGCAAGTTCTATATTAGTTGAAATTATCATTAATTAATTATTTGCTGTTTTACGTGACGAGAAATACTTGCTTTCAATAACCCCAATCTCATTTTCTTATGAGTTTGGGTAAGCTAAAAAGAAGGTCAAACTTAGTAACTTAAAGAAAAACCACATTTTATTTTGCTTATAATTGCTGAGAAAGGAAATTGGAAAGGGCTTGGCAGGGCAGAATCGGAAGTTTTCCTTTGTGTCTGGCAGATGTTGGCTAGTGTTGCAGTTATGTGGAGTCTATTTAAACTGGACTTCCTATGGCTTCTTCATGTGGCTGGTGGTGAATGTTGGCTGTTGGCTGGGAACTCAGCAGGGGATGACAAGTGGATCACCTCCATGTGTCTTTATAGCATGGCAGTCTCAGGCTTTTAGAATTTCTTCCAGTGGCTGGTATATACTTGAAAGAATGTCCCAAGAGAGTCCAAGGCAGAAATGTGTGGCTTATTTATAACTAGTTTTGGAAGTTACAATGAGACATTTCTACTCCAGTTTACTGATCACAAGAGAGTTACTAAGATTGATTGAGTCTCTATCCATGTGAGGAAGGTGAATCAAAGAACTTGTGATCAGATTTTAGACCTGTCATAGAGTGTAGAAAAGCTAAGAGGCTTCGTATTCAAGGGAAGAAATACTTTAAAGTTCTCCAGGGATGAGGGTTAGTGATGATTCGGGGCAAGACCAGTGAAATAAGAGAGGCTGGGACATGCATTGAAGAAGCTCAGTGAGAAAGTTCTCTGGTAATGGGCTGCGATGTGCTGGAGTTAGTCCACAATGGTTTGCAAGAGCCAGTTACTCACTTGTTTACTCAGTTCTAGCTCTGAGTTCAGTGATGTCATTGATAGTTTGGATATGACTACAGTGGAATATTTACACCACATTAATTAGCAGACACTACAAATAAGGGTGTTTTTCTCCCCAGGAGACGCAGTTGCTGAATAGTTACCAATTGGTAATGGGGCAACTTAGAAACTACTTTTTGGAGAACTGTACTTCTCATAGCAATTCTACATTGTGAACTTTAGGGTTAAAAACACTCTGCTTTTGTAAGCTTTTCAGTAAAATTTGCAAAGTCCCCTATCGCTTTTGGGTAAGTGACATTTTTGGGGATAATCTAATGTGATTCTGAATTTGAGTCAACACTGGCTGTTTCAGAACAGCACATGTTGAAGCAGGAGCCTGATGCAGAATACGTCATTAGAGGGAAAGTGCTGGTAATTAGCAGAAATTACAGGAAGCTGTGGACTTCAAAGACTTTAAAATTGAGTGTGTGAACCAAGCACATTTGAGTTTCCAGGGAAGGAGTGAAGCTCCAGTTGATACTTTGGTTACACAACTGCATGAGAATTTATCATTTACGGCATACTTTTATGTAGCTCATAATGTTTTATGTGGGTTATAGATCGAATGCACATATTTAAATATTTTGTATGACATTGGACAGGTCACTTAAATTTTCTGATACTCAGATTCTTCATCTCTAAGAATTAGCTGAAAGTATCTTTATAGAGAGTTGTTTCAATGGGTGCTATAAGATTAAAAAGAAAAATAAGAGATCAACATTGGCCATGAGTTTAGTAAATATTTCCCAGGGGTGGAACACCACTTCCAAATTTTTGTAAGTTGGTGTTGATGGGAAATAAGCAATGATTAAGCAAAGGAAAATCAGGAGAAATATTGTTCACAAAGGGCAATGCTGTATAAGTACAAAAAAAGGGGGAAGCCACAGTTTTTGGGTTTCACAAGGAAGTAGAGGGCTGGCTTTCATTCATGCCCCACTCCTGCCTCAGTTTCATTGCTTCTTGCCTGTAAGGCTTTCTCACTCTGACAGAAGGCAAGCAAACTCAGAGGGGCCCCAAGGTGGTCTGGCAGAGGAGGTAAAATATATAGTTTTGCAATTGGAAAATAATATTAAAGTTCTTAGAGTGAGAATGTGAGTAGAAAGCAGAGATTTTAATAATATGACACAAGGAAGTCAATTTTAAATATTTTGCAATATTAACAAAAATTTTTGGAACTTAATAGAATATATTTAACTTAATAAAAATATATATTTTATTTTATGTGTGAATAACACAAACAAATATTTGAATGAGTTCAGAGTTGCTATTTTAAAATAATAAATGTTTCGTTCTAGTTCATTTAATTGTGGGTCTTGACTGGCAATTTTGGAGAGGACTCAGGAAATAAAAAAGGAGAGTAAGGAAAGCCTCAAGTTTAGATACCACCTAAGTCGTCATTAATAGCTATTGGTAGAAATATGGGTGGTGAAGACCTTTCTGATGTATTCCCAGATCCTATTGGGGAGAATGGGATTGGAAAATGGAGAAAAGTCTATCTTTGTCATGCAGTGTCTTATAACTTGGCTGAATTGTGTTCCTGTCCTGATGTTTTGGGAAAGGTAGAACTTGTGAGTGATGAAATTGTATATTTGGCTGAAGCACTTTCTAAACAACATTTTGAAAGAGTAGCTTCATTCCTCTTTGCTGCTCCTAGTAAACTGTGAGAAGAGAAAAATTATTTGAAGATGGAATTGTTAATCAAAAGGAAACCAAAACTTAAATATTTGGAAAAGTCTTAGTCTATCCATATTGTAAAGAATGAAGAAATATCTTTGTAAGAGATGTCCAAGTGTGTGACCAAATGACAATCTGATATAATTACTCAGTCATTTAACAGAATCTAGAACCTGTTGTCCCAGACCGTGGAAGAATCATCCTAAAAGCAATTCAAGAATTATCAGGGCTGCCACTCCTATCAAAATGCAAAAACCTGGGGAGCAGGGTGGTTTCCAATTTAAAGGAGAGACCACCACTACCCCGTGCTGCTTCACATTGTGGGTCTATCTCCCTTACTCTGTTACCATGCACCTTGGTAGCCCCAAATTCAGTTCTAATGAGCTCTGGCAGAGAATTGCTAGAGGAGCAAAGCCACCACAGTGAACTTCTATTAGACCAATGCCCAGCAGAGTCACAAGAGTAGGGCTGCCCTGAGACCTCAGACTGGGAGAGCCACTGGCATAAAATTCTTGGTTGGGAGATCCACAGGCGCACATCTCCAATCCATGAGAGCTGCAGTGTAAGTTGTATCTGGCAAAGCCATGTAGCCAGGGGTTCCCAGAGCTTTGGGGGTCCAAACTCTGGGGGCCAAAGCTAAGGGAGTACCACCCAGGGTGCTCAGAAGGGACTTCTCCCCAAAGTGGATTGGAAGGGCAGAACATCAAACCAAAGAAGATTGTTACTGAGACTTAAGATATAATGTTTTCTCTGTTGGGTTGTGGACTTAGAGCCTCTTGCCTCTTTCCTCTTCCTGTTTCTATATTTTGGAATGGGGATGCATGTTCTGTGCCTGTCCCATCGTTGTATTTTGGAAGCACATAACTTGTTTGATTTCATAGGCTCACAGCTAGGGAAAAATTTTCCTCAAAATGAATCATACTTTGAGTCTCATTCATACCTAACTTAGATGATATTTAGATGAGATTTTGGACTTTGAACTGTTGAGTTGATGTTTGACCAAGTTAAGATGTTTGGGGCTACTGGGATGGAATGAATGTCCTTGCTTATGAGAAGAACATGAATTTTGAGGGCTGGGGCAGAATGCTACAGTCTGAATGTTCGTGTCCCCTCAAAATATGTAAAAAAATTTGATTTTCCAACGTGACAGCATTAAGTGGTGGGGCTTTTAGAAGGTGATTATGGTGGAGCCCTCATGAATGGGATTAGTGCACTTACAAAAGAAGCCCAAGGGAAACCTCTTTCTCCTTCCAACATGGGAAGACACAGGTGAAATATGACATGTGTCTTCTATGAACCTAGGAGAGGATCCACACCAGACTCCAAATTTCCTTGTGCCTTGATCTCAAACCTCTTAGCCTCCAGAACTACGAGACATACATTTCTGTTGTTTACAAAGCTGTGCAATTTAGGATATTTGATTACAGCAGCCAGAAGAGTCTAAGACATGGTCCTACAATGAAGTTAGAGAATTTTTAAAATGTCTGTTTACTGTTACAAATGGCAAACAAAAAGTCATTATGCTTACACACACAATAAATGTGTGTAAGTTCAAAACAACAATTTTTTTTAATATGAAAGTCCCAGTTAGTTTTAAAAGGAAATGAACAACTGAGAGGAATAAAACTTTTGTTCTTGTTTTGATAGTGATGGAGAAGGGTTTTCAAAAATAATGAGTTGACTTCAGGTTGGAATTAAAGAATTACCTACCATAAAACTGTCTTTTGGATATCCTAAAAACTCATCTGTTTTGAGATATACAACATCTAAAGACCAATGACTTTATTTTCCTGCACAGAGAAAGGAGACCTAAAAAGGATTATTTTAGGTTTGGATTCAGAAATGGCCATTGTGTAAAGTATGTGAGAGCAGATTTGAATAATTGCCATAGTGCAGAAATAATTGCTTTTAGTACCTGATTTTTTAAAGTTATTATTTCATCCATAATATATATTTTTCTTATATCTTTAAAAATTTTACACGATAAAATGAAAATTGAACTAACTTAGACAAAGGTTATTTTCAAATTATGAAAGTATGTATATTTCAAAATGTTTATTGAATACTTATGCACAATGGTCAAAACACATATTTTTATATAATACACTATGATTTTTAGCATTCTGAGCAAATATGTGAAACCTTTTAGATATTTGCCTTATTGTTAACAAAGAAGTTAGTGAACTGTATTACATATATACAGTTCTTTTATATTAGCTTGAGTTTTTTAAAATCAGCCTTTACCAGGTGTATTAGTCCATTCTCACTCTGCCAATAAAGGCTTACCTGAGACTGGGTAATTTATAAAGGAAAGAGGTTTAATTGGCTCACAGTTCAACATGGCTGGGGAGGCTTCAGGAAACTTACCTCATGGTGGAAGGGGAAACAAACACGTCTTTCTTCACAAGGCAGCAGGAAGGAGAAGTGCTGAGCAAAGAGGGGAAAGCACCTTATAAAACCATCAGATCTTCTGAGAGCTCATTTGTTATCATGAAAATAGCAGCATGAGGGTAACCACCCCCATGATTCAATTACTTCCCACCGGGTCCCTTCCACAACACATGGGGATAATGGGAATTACACTCAAGATGAGATGTGGGTGTGGACACAGTCAAACTATATCATTTTATCCCTGCCCTCTTTAAGTCTCATGTCCTCACATTTCAAAACACAATCATGCCCTTCCATTAGTCCCCTAAAGTCTTAACTAATTCCAGCATTAACTACAAAGTCCAAGTCCAGAGTCTCATCTGAGACAACGCAATACCCTTTCACTATGAGCCTGTAAAATCAAAAGCAAGTTAGTTAGTTACTAGATACAATGAGGGTACAGGCAATGGTTAAATACAGCCATATCAATTGGGAGAAACTGGCAAAAACAAAGAGGCCACAGGCCCCATGGAAGTCCAAAATCCAGTAGGGCAGTTATTAAACCTTAAAGTTCCAAAATGATCTTAGACTCCATGTTTCACATCCAGGGCATACTGACACAAGACGTGGGCTCCCACAGCCTTTGGCAGCTCCACCCCTGTGGCTTTGCAGGTACAATTCCCCTCCTAGCTGCTTTCATAGGCATTGAGTTCCTGCAGCCTTTCCAGGTGCACGGTGCAAGCTGTTTGGTGGATCTACCATTCTGGGGTCTGAAGGAGGGTGGCCCTCTTCTCAAAGCTCCACTAGGCAGTGCCCCAGTAGGGACTCTGTGTGGGGGCTCTGACCCCACATTTCCTTTCCACACTGCCCTAGCAGAGTTCTTCATGAGGGCTCCACCCCTGCAGCAAACTTTTCCCTGGACATCCCAACATTTCCATACATCCTCTGAAATCTATGCAGAGGTTCCGAAACCTCCAATCTGGTCTTCTGTGCATCCACTGGCCCAACACCATGTGGAAGCTGCCAAGCCTTGGGGCTTGCACTGTCTGAAGCAATGGCCCAAGCTGTACCTTGGCTCCTTTTAGTGACAGCTGACATTGAGCCAGTTGGGACTCAGGGCACCATGTCTTGAGGCTGCACAGAGCATGGGGACACTGGTTCTGGTCCAATAAAGCATTTTTTCCTTTTAGTTCTTCAGGCTTGTGATGGGAGGGGCTGCCATGAAGGTCTCTGACATGTCCTGGAGATATTTTCCCCATTTTTTTGGTGATTCACATTTGGCTTCTTGTTACTTATGCAAATTTCTGCAGTGTGCTTGAATTCCTCACCAGAAAATGGGTTTTTCTTTTTTATTGCATCTTCAGGCTGCAATTTTTTAAACTTTTATGCTCTGGTTACTCTTGAATGCCTTGTTGCTTAGAAATTTATTCTGCCAAATACCCTAAATCATCTCTCTCAGGTTCAAAGTTCCACATATCTCTAGGGCAAGGGCAAAAACTGCCAGTCTCCTTGCTAAAGCATAGCAAGAGTCACCTTTGCTCCAGTTCCCAAAAGGTTCCTCATCTTCAAATGTTCCATGTACTACTATATTAAGCACATACAGGTGCTCAGTAAATGTCAATGCTAGGCAAATAAATGAACGGATAAATCATGGACCAACTTAGCTGCTCAGTGAGTTTATGGTTGCTTATCTTTGAGAAGCATCTTTTGCCTTTCTCCATATTGAGATTGTTTAACTGAGCTGCATAACTTTGGTATATATTACTATATGTGTTTAAATTTTGTATATATTTTGTCTACATTTATAGCAAATTTTATTGAGAATATTTTTTTTCTCAAAACAGCATCCCTTTAATCTAGAACAAAACAGTTTTTATAGCTCTCTTTTGAAATAAATACTAAAGAATAAATTGGTCAGGTTCTTTCTCCGATCGTGAAGTACCTGCAAACTGCTTCCCATAAATGGCGGAAAAGGTTAAGAGACATTACCAGGATAGCTGCCCCAAATTGTTGCTGGTATCATTAAAATAGTCAACAAAAATGTGGAGCCTACAGCCTTGTAAAAATAGAAGCATTTAAATCCATACTTCAGTCATTTCCTTTCCCTGATTTATGTTTTCTTGGTGTTTACAGGCACAGTCAACAGCAGTGGAAAAGATGGCTCATGTGTGGCTCAGGCTGACTCCACAATCAGAGTAATTATGTGGAAATCAATCAGAATTTTCTTCTTAGAAGACATTTGTTCTGACATAATGACTGACATTCCAGCTAATTTTTATTCATAGGCTTCTCCTTTCACAATGATCTCTATTTCTCTAAATGTTATTCTGTGTCTTTCTTGCTTGCCTGCACATTCTGAAAAAAAAGGAAAATAATTCCATACATTTTATTTTGATACTTAATGTTGTTTGCTAACATATTCAGAACACAATGAAACTTTATTTATTAGAGCACTTATGATATATATTAGGAAAATATCAGTTAGGTACCACCAGTTATTTTAGACAGGTATCTCTTGGGGAAAATGTGGTGAAAATAGAGAGGTAATGATTGAATTAATATGTGAAAGAGTCAGTCGGCCATCATTATGCTAAAATTATTTTGCAGTTCAGGGGACATTTTAAACTTTATTTTTTAAGAATTCAACTTTAATTTAATTTCTTGTAGTTGAAAGAATTCTAAGATGCCACCAATGTCCCAGGCCTTGTCAAAAACATCCTCTCGAGTGTGTGTGAGTGAGACCCGAAAATTGCCCCTTGCTGCCAGAACACGGCAAAGGTGATGGGATCTTTTATGTTTTGTGGCAAAAGTTAACCATATTTACAGGAGTGATTATTCTTCCTAATCAGCTGACTTTAAGTTGAACAAAAGGGAGATTTTCCTGGGTGAGTCCTGATTTAAGCAAGAAAGGCTTTAAAAGAGGTCAGAGAATGTAAATGTGTGAGAAATTAGAAGCAGCGGAGCCTCTGTTCTGGTGATCTTCAGTAGCAGGTCACTGTGAATTCTACAGCTCGACCATCTTATCACTGGACTGTTGGCCCTTTCTACAGCTCGGTCACCTTGATCACTGGAATATGGGCCATTGGAGCCACCGGCCATCATATTAGCAATCTGACTATGTTGAGGCCACTGTGTTGTGAGGAAGCCCAAACTAGTCCAGAGACCCTGACACTAGTTTAAAGGATAGAGATGCCCCATTAACCCTCCCCAGCTCTACTATCACCCTCTGCTCCTCTCCCTACTCAGTCTTAGTCACCACTTAAATGCAATCACAAGGAAAGACTCTGAACTGGAAACACCAAGCCAAGCTCTTTCCTAGTTCTGGTGCCCTATAAACTCTGAAAGTTAATGCAATTATTATTATTTTTAAACCACCGAGTTTTCAGGGTGATCAGTCATGCAAGCCTGAAAAGGACTATTCTTTCTGGCACTGAAAATTACGAAGAGTGATTAACAAGATAAGAATGTAGTTTGTGCTGTCTGCCATGGATTTGTGTTGTAGCTTTAGTGATTGCTTGAAGCACCCTTACTAATTGCCAGCCTATTGCTGATACCTAGCTAAATTAGCATATGTTAGCTTTGATACCACTATAGGCATTTAGAGGATAGCTGATAAGTTCTATATAAAATATAATTACTTTCCTATCTTTAGCTTATCCTAAAGTAGCAGCTATTATATTCTCTTCTTGATTAGCTTTATACATAACCAGAGAAAGTAAAATATCACAGAGTATATTTGAAGACATAAAAATCTTTGAACAAAGTTCAAGTAATGAATCAGGATGCTCTTACATCCTCCACCTGACAGTAAATATATTTTATATTCCTAAATTTTAATCTTTTAACAAAAGTAAACTATATACTGGAGCATTTCAATTTCTAGGGAAATGAAATTATTATTTACTGCCTTTGAGGCTATAATCTATTTAGCTATTATTTTTATATTGATCGATTTATAATAAAGGTCAGAGAAAATACAACCACATATATGTTGTTTATATAATTTTAACTTTTGTAATTAAAATACTGGGTATACTGCAAGATGTCAATATTTATAAAACCCTATATTTGAAAAAATGTATTTTATATACTCCTAATCCATTGCCTTGTGTGTCATTGAAGAAACTGAAGTTCACGATAATGACTGAACAAATGCCTCAAAGATGGTCTGTGGCAGAACCAAAAAATGTCCATGTTACCTTTCTCTTTCCACATTGTGGTGATCTGCCTAATTTGACTTTCTGCTTAGATGTCTAGACTCTACCCCTCATTCGTTCTGCTAGTGTATTGTTGAACCCTTTCTATTAACCTACCCTCGATTTTTCTGTTGCACAATCTGTAGCCTGAATGTTGAGTCCCAAATGCATGACCTACCTGGCTGAGTAATCTAACTAGGTTAGTCTGAGTATATCACTTTAAGGCCAATGTAAAGTTATCTTGTATCTACCTCATAGTTTTGCAGAGGCAAGAAATAGAAGTTAAGGAAGAGAAGAAGCCCATCGTGAATCAGTTAGAATTTCATTGGATGTAGAAAATCTCTACAAGCAAAAACCCATTTGATTGAACAAGCAAGCTTATGCAGTTAAATATATCAAAGAACTTGTCACAAAAAGTGCAAAAGGAAAGTAAAATAAGGAGGGAGCATGAAGAAGCCAGCTTATATGAAGGATTCAAAACAGGGATATAGGGAAATTCAAGCCAAAAAAAAAAGGAATTCTTATAAATGACCCAAGCGTGAATTCAATATTTGGTTGATATTCCAGCAGATTTAGTAATGCTATTTGTAAAGTCAACAGGCTGCCCATTTTTGCCTCGCACTCTGACTGCATGTAATCTGTCAAATACTCTGATGACTTCTGGAGATGCTGATGCAAAAAAGATATACAAACCTTACCTTGAAAAGATAGTTCACAGTTTAGCCATGGAGTTATGGGAAGCATCTTGTCTTCAATTTCAGCCCCTCCTCTGTCCCTCTCCCAGACACCCACTGTCCTCTTTCTCACCACATCCATCCCCTTTTTTGTCCTGGCTTTGGTGCACTATTTATAATTCTTTCTTCTCATACCTACCATAACTGTTAGGTAGTAAGAACATCAGTATGGAGACCCCTTAACCCTAACTAACACCAGCTCCATCTGTTTGGTATTAATTTGTGTTTACTGAACTTGAGGCCTTGAGTACTACAAAAAGTAGAATACGCTACTGGTGAGCATTACTTTATTAATAATTAGGCTCCACTTGGATGTTTGCCATTCGTATGTAGCCGTTCTTTCCTTGGAGCCCGTGAACTTTCTATGGATGTCACAAAAAGAGTTTTAAGGATTTTGTTTAAATTAAAATTAACACACCAAGAAAATACTACGCCTCAAACAAAAAATAATCAGTTAATTTAGTTTTTTGAAATCTTTTACAAAACACGTGTGATAAACATTTAATCTTTATGCAAGGATATTTGGGATATTAAACTTGTCACAGATTTAATGATGCATTTTATTGTATAAAATTTTTCTTTTATCTTCAATGTGAATTCTCTAAGTAAAAACTGAAGAGTAAGATGTTATCATTAAACATTTCAGAAAATGCACACTGTCCTAGACTGCACGGTGTCAAAATGATCAGCCAGTAGAGGTTGTGGTGAACATGTAGTAAATTTTATCAACAAGTAATGTGAATATATGAAATGTATTGATTTTCCAAAAGAAACTTTTACACTTCTTGGTAAAGATAAACTTTCATGGAAGAAAAAATAAAAACATAATTTTAGCAACCCAAACCATACTAAAGTTATAAACACTTGACCAAATGTTTGAGTACCCCAAAAATTATTCCTGTGTGGATTCTTCTTCTAGAATGATTGGTCCTCCTGGCCTTATTATTCTCCATTTCTGTCCCACTGAGGTTAGCCAGAGTTCACTTGCCTTGTCAGTTAAGTTTCTAAATCAGATGAATTATGTTTTCTATAATTGAGTTAACCACAGTTAATTGCTTAATAGACTCTGTCTACACTAACTGAAAAAAAAGAATTAATTGCTTGGAAAAAAATGCGTTATATATTTTAGTCACGTCTACACAGTCATCCAAGACAAAGTGACAAAGGCACTTTCAACAGTGGCCAGAGCCAATGGCGACAGCGGGGCCAGCGCTTAGCTCAGCCATGTGTTGAATCTACTACTTTGGGATGTGGATATAAAGAAAATGAGTTATAAATGGAACTTCTCCTTAGAGCTTAATTCATTATCATTATTATTATTATTTCTTTACATAAGAAAATAATTTTAGGACAGCCTTGGCAAAAGTTTAGGTACAATTTAAGAAAATGCCATTTGTAAAAAAAAAAAAAAAGACTTTTTTTTAAAAATTATGTTTTTACTTTTAATGATTTAGGTTTAGTTTTTAAAAATGTATTTCCTAGCCAAGATCTAATACCAGGTATCTGGAATTTTTCTAAATTTTCTCTGAAAACATGAGATTCATGTACAGTTATTTAAAATTTGCTACAGCCATTTTTAATATATCTTTTATGTTTGAAGAGATGCCAATAGCTTATTATAGTAAGCTATGATAGCAATGCCAATGAATGCTCAATTCCATTGCTTAAATATAAGTGAAATAATAAAGGAAAAGACCAGTATTGAATATAATGCCTCTTCCTGCTACACTCTAACAAATTCGCTACAATAAATGGAAAGTTGAAAATATAATAAAAACTTAGGTAATATATTTAAGTATAATTTATAATCAAGGCAATATCAGAAAATCTTGAATTATTTGTACTCTAAAATGAATTTATGCTTTTCAGTGCTGGAAGCATTCTAGAAGCTGTTTCAATGGTGAAATCATTTTGTCAAACATTCTTTGAAGTCTATGACCTTAAATAGAGCATTTAAATGGAAACCATCATTCTTAGCAAACTATCACAAGAACAGAAAACCAAACACCGCATGTTCTCACTCATAGGTGGGAACTGAACAATGAGATCACTTGGACTCTGGAAGGGGAACATCACACACCGGGGCCTATCATGGGGAGGGGGGAGAGGGGAGGGATTGCATTGGGAGTTATACCTGATATAAATGACGAGTTGATGGGTGCTGACGAGTTGATGGGTGCAGCACAGCAACATGACACAAGTATACATATGTAACAAACCTGCACGTTATGCACATGTACCCTAGAACTTAAAGTACAATAATAATAAAAAATAAAAAAAGATTAAAAAAAAAGACAAAACCCAATGGTTTAGAAAAGTCCAGAGAAACAAGTATATTGGCAATTGTAGATAATTTTTGAGATATTTAACAAAACAGTGAAGTACAATAAGCATCCTATTCACAATTCCAATGTAAAAAAAGATGTGGTCATAGGCAGAATTATACTAAGAAAAACCTATGAAGAAAATAAATCTTGTTTGTTACCTCCAAGATCTCACCATATTTTTCCCATGTCCCTACATCTATGCCCTACTGTTTCTGCTTCTTCATTAATCTTAAATTGACTTAAGTTGATATTGGTTATTTAAATATTTCTTATCTGTATCACAAGTTCAACAAGGAAAAAATCTTGATAATAAAAAAAAGGCAAAGGAAGCTTTTAAAAATTTACCCATGGATTGTAATTAGCCATGATCCCCATCCTGTTTCTTTAGAACTGTTAGATAAGAGTTTTCTGCACTTGAAACTTTGAGTGTTTCTAAAAATATTTCCTTTTTTAAGCTTACCAAGTTTATAGATATCATCCAGACAGAGTGAACTAAAGCAAGAGTCCCTGGCTAGAAAGTGTGCCTGGCATGTTCTAAGAAAACAAAAGGCCCCATAAGTGTTCCTAAAAGGGAATAAAATCAGAAAGTGGGGAGAGGGGATGCACAGCTCCTTGTCGATTATTAGAAGAACTTTGAGAAATGCAAAACCACTTGTGGTTTTGTGAATCCACTGCTGTTTTCAGGATACACTGCAGGGGGTAATGGCACAAAAGGGAAATCTCCTGGTTGATAGTTTGGTAATCTAGACAGACTATGGTGTTGGCTAGAATCAAGTTAGTAGCAAGTCGAGTTATCAGAAATGTGGAAATTGGTTTTATATTGAGAAATAAGCCGATGGTGTTGCTGAGAATTGCATGTGTAGTGAGGGAGAACAAAGAGACTCAAGAGTGCACGTTTTTTAACCAAAGCAGCTACAAAGATGCCATTGCCTTTGTACCCTTCATTCTCTGATTCCTTTTTTCTTCTCTGCCTTCATTCTCTGATTGTCTTTCCCAAGACAGCTTTAGCTTGTCCACACCTAACCATGCTTCTGTCTAGGGCCTTGGCACTTTGCAATTCCTTCCACCTGGAATGCAGTTGCCTAAGATATCCTCATCAATTCCCTCTCATGTTCTTCAAGTTTTTGTTTGAATGTCACCTTTTCAATACAACTTGCCTTGCCCGCCTATCTTAGATTGTATCCCCCAAAATATACTTCCTGTCTACCTTCTCTGATTTGTCTTACTCCGTAGCATTTATCCCAATCTAACAAACATATTTTGCTTATTTTATTTATTGCCTATTTTCCCAGTAAAATGGCAACTCAATAACAAGGATGTCTGCTTGTTTTGTTCCTACTCTCTCTCCAAAACCTGGAATAGTATTTGGTGTATAATAGCACAATAAGTATGGGTTAGATGCATGAATTAATGCAGGAAATTAGCCAAGCTATTTATTGTACTCTGGTCTCTGAGAAAATTTGCAAGCAAGAAGAAAGATTGTTCTGTGGAAAAATGTAGGAGACAAAGCAAAAAACTCCATCATGGTGTATCAGGATGAAAAGTTTTATACTTTAATTTAGTTTGTGGTAAAGTCTTCCTCATAAGGAGGATGAAAACAAAAGCCCTAGTAGTATCAGATCCCCAGAGAAAAGCAATTAGCTGAGCTCCTTAACATGACTCAAACTTTCTCTAATTTGGGGGAATGGTTGGCCCTAACTCTCACTGAGCCTGCATACTGAGGAGAACGTGTCAAAATCTAGCAGTCTAGAAGGATGAATGCAAAAGAACAGTAACACCAATATTCCCTCTACCCAGCTGACATTTCTCTCCCATCCTTCATTTCCTTACCATAACCCTCTGTGCTAGCCCATTGCGCATGGATAATGTCCAAGACTGTGCAATGATGTACAAGATCATGATAATCGAATTGCAACCTCTGTCCTTTTTCTTCATGCTCCCCCAAATCCAGTGATTCTGAACTGCTACAGTTCCATAAACCAAACAACCCTTTTCCCCAATTTTACGATTAAATGCTTTTCCTTTTCTATTCTGTCTAGAATAGCCTTTCTTATCTCATTTCTTTGTCAATTTTAATTCATCCTTTAATAATGATTTATAGCAGTTCTTCATTAGTGAAATTCCTGGTACATTTCCCACCATCCCTGAAAAATTAATTGCTCCCTTATTGATTTCCCATTGATTCTAATAGTTATGAAATATTTTATTACAATTACTAGTTCACATATCTGAATTCTGCTTGGGGCTGTGAAGAATCTGAAGGCAAGAAACTTGTTCTACTTTCTTTGTATAAATTGGACTTATCACATAATAATGTCTCATTAGGTTGAATGAATGATTAATATTAACAAAGAAAATTGTCAAAATTAGGTAAGCTTGTTTTAAAAAGTTGAAATTAAACATTAGCCGTAAGTTTTCTAGAAAACTGAGCACTTTCTGATGTGTTTGGAATCACATTAAGAAAGTCGTCTCTTTTGCTACTTTGGTTTACCAGAATGAAGGTTAACTGGAAAGATTTCCCAGAGAAAACAAGACCACAAATGTTTTGAAGTGGGGGAAAAATATTTTATTGAAATAGAAGTGGTACAAAAACAAGAAATATAACATGTGATACAGTGGATATAAGCGTATGTGAAATATATGGATGAACATCCATACAGGTTTCACAGGACTGAAAGGTGCAACTGGTACAGAGAGGCTGGTTGTTGAAGTATTTAAAACTCACAATCAAAGCTCTGATAGTAGGATGCAATGTCAGTGATTACTAATCGAGACAAATTTGCTTAAGATCATTGTATAATTACACCCAAATTCCAATTTGTGAATAGGTTTACTCATCGTGACCTAGCTGATAACGTGGAAAGATAAACGAGGCAGATACACAGAACATTTTGCAGACTATGGTGGCTGCGAGAATAGCTTTTCGCTTGATTCGGGCTTTAAGTGTTAGCCTGAACACTCAGAACACTACTTATTTTTGGAAAGGGATTAACGAAGACATTTATTTTAGAGACTACTTTGTTGTTGTTGACTTTTTCATTGTTGTTCTTCCCTCTCATCTGGGATATTTCCCTTGCCCTTCTGACAGCTTGTCAATGGGAAGGCGTCTGTTCCTGCTTTATTTATTGCATATCTGTCTGCTTAATATGAATCTATTACAGAGAATAAGGAAATCCATTTAGGGCCGACTAATGTAAAAATACTCTTTGATGAGCAGTATATTGCAATATAGCTCAGAATTTTCAAATTTAATATATTGGCTCTTCCAAATACGTTATTCATATTTGCTGAGGGTTGCTTTTATAAATTCTGCTTTGGAGCATACAGCTCAGTGGAAAGATACATGTTTATCTGAATTAGCTGGCTCTAGTCCCAAATGAATATTTGTACAAATCTGTTTTTAGCATTGATATTAATTTATTAGACAATTATAATATGGCAAATGATGCAAAGTTTGGAACTTGTTTCACATTTTTTTAATGGTTTGTACTCGCTCCCCTCCCCCATATACGAGATTTTAAGAGTCTATAGGGATATCTGAGTACATATTTATGCAGATTACTTTTTTATTTATGGAAGGGGATTGCTTTTTCCCCCAGGTGGTTATAAAACTGCTATTTCACTTTGACGTGATACAAATTGGTGTAGAGAAAACAAATTATTCTAAAGTCTTTAGAAACCAAAATGATGCTGTTGGAGCATAGTAATAACGTAAATAAATCTAGAAGATGGAGATTTTTATTTTTCCAGAACTGGATGGGTTTGTCCTGGATCATGCCTCTGAATTTAGGTCTCTGATTTTTATCCAGGGGTGATTTTTGACTTGTATAAAGTCGTGGAAACCAAGAGCCATCATAAACCAAGAATTGTTTTACAATCTTTGGAAATGTGTATTTACATAGACCATGAAATAAAAAATATTTTGTTCATGATAAGTTGTTTTTAATGCTGCTCTGAACAGCAGATCAAAAAAAAAATTTTTAGGAGCAAGTAAGTCGTTTTGTGTTTTACTTGCCTGCCTTATAGATATGGAATGTTGGACCACAAAAGAATACCTGAGTTTAGGACCATAGATTCTTTTAGTAAAATTTTATTGAAAATTAAAGTATATATAGAAAAGTGCACAAATCCGAAGCCCACGGTTCAATGGATTTTAAGTGAATATAGCCATGTAACTAGCATGCCAATAAAATAAGGCATTGATAGAGCATTACCCGACCCAGGCCTTCTCATGCCTCATCCCAAAGGTAATTGCTATCCTGCCCTTTAATTATTACATATTAGTTTGGCCTATTCTCTTGCAGACAACTCTTCAATGCATGTAAGTTCCATTTTAGAAGATCTTGCAAGTGGAATTTGCCTTCTGCCGCTAATCAGTCTTTAACCAGGAGATATCAAGATGGAATCAGAGGAAATCTAAGCATTTCAAGTGGTTTTGCCATGATAGCATCCTTTGTGATTACTGAAAGAAACCTGGAAGTTGATAAAGTAATCCATGTTGAAAGTACAGATTTTGCTTTGATAGTGGCCAAGTTGTTCATGCCACAATGTTTCCCTGCACTATTTTTACCCAATAATGAGTTTAACAGTAAAAGTTTAAGTAATGCCATATTCCACTAACATACAACAATACAATGGAATTAGGTAACAAATTTTAAAGATCAGAGAAAAAGGAATTGTGATATTTAAGAATTACATGTGGTTAGAAATCTTTATATATCAACATATTGAAAGAAATTAATTCAGTCAGTTCAGGCATGACGTTTATTTTTAACAATTAGTATTCTATTCTCTGTAATCATGTTCCACAGTTTAAAGTGCTTAATGAGTTCTTACTGGAAGGGGACTATTTCGGGAGAGAATAATGGCCTTTAATCACTTCACTCAAGCTATTAGCAGGAAAGATTGTCAGGAAATATTATTACTTTTGTTATAAAATTAACTGAACTTTCACTTGGATGAAACAAGAAGTTTGTCAATATGGTATATAACCTCCAAGGTCTTTCTCCCTCTTCCTTATGCTATTTCCCCCTCTTCTTCACCATGTGTTATTGATTCATTTGAATAATCTATGATTACTTTCCTTCTTAATAGCCTGAGAAGAAAAATAGCTTCTAACTAAGCAACTCCCAAGTCCTTAAGCTAGATGTTATGTTTATATTATCTCAATTAATCCCACTCAGTGTAGTAGATGGTATGACCATGTTACAATTGTGCAAAATGGAGTTTCAGGAAGATACACAATTTGCTCAATATCAAACTCGTATAACTTCTACAGAAAATAATTGAAGCACAAAGTCATAGGACTCTTAACCTCTGCTGAAAGATGCTTTTATATAGCATCTAAAATGTTATGTTAGATATATTAGCTGGAGAAATTTTATCTTTTCCAAAACGGAACAATATTTTAGTGTTTTCTGAGTGAAAATAGTAAACACTATTCAGATTCAGGTGATGGTATCTTTGATTATCCTCACGAGACAATCAGTGTAGGTAGTTCAGTGCATCTCAAAGCATAGTACCTGGACCAGCAGGACGGCAGTGATATTGGTGAGTTTGTTGTACACACACAATTATGAGCCCTACCTTAAATCTCTGAATATCTGAGCATGAGACCCAGGAAATTATATTTTAATAGGTTATTGGGATGATTCTTATTTATGTTAAAGTTTGGGAACCACTGACATATTTCTTAAAAGCATGAATTGCAGAAACACAGTATGTAAGTTTATATTCATGTTCTGTAAAATACTAGCTATGTGACATTGACCAACTAATTCATCTTTCTGGATCTCTGTCTTCTTCATTTATGAAACTTATATAATAATCATATCTGCATCACATTGTTGTTTTGAGCTTTGGTGAACACACATAGAAAAGTGCCATGCTAGGTCCGGGCACAGTGGCTCATGCCTGTAATTCCAGCACTTTGGGAGGTTGAGGTGGGTGGATCACCTGAGGTCAGGAGTTCAAGACCAGCCTGGCCAACATGGTGAAACTCCGTCTCTAGTAAAAATACAAAAAATTAGCCGGGCATTGTGGCAGAAGCCTGTAATCCCAGCTACTCGGGAGGCTGAGGCAGGAGAATCGCTTGAACCTGGGAGGCAGAGGTTGCAGTGAACCAAACAATCCAGCCTGGGCAACAAGAGTGAAACTCCATCTCAATTAAAAAAAAAAAAAGAAAGAAAAGAAAGAAAAGTAAAGTACCATGCTCATAGCAAGAACTATCTTAGTGATGGTAAATATACAGATCTTGTTTTAATAATACAAGTTAAGTAATGATATAAAGCATTCATTAAATATCTCAATATTTGGGGAACCATTTCTTTTAATAATAAAGTCTAATAAATGTTGTTATTAAATAGAAATACACTTTTATAAACATGCATTTTTTAAAAATATACGAATCAGAAAAGGAAAGGTGATGGAAAACTCATACAAATATGATATAGTAAATTGCACTGTTTTTGTGAAGATGATTTTATGCAGAATTCAAAGTAGATGCAATTAGTGCTACAAATTAGAAATTGCAAATGATGAATTCACAAACACATGATTTAACAAATCAGAGAAGAGAAAAAAATATCTGATGAATTTCAGTCTCTACATGTGGATTTAATCTTGTGATAAGCAGTTCTCAGGAGAAAGCATGAGATGTCATTTGTCATTCCAGAAAGTGGGAGAACATAAAAGTTGAGAACACTTATTACATAAGCAAGAAGTATCAATGAAGACAATTAATATAATACATACAGATGCATTTGACTGTATGAGAAAAGGCATTTCATGTTATTTGCTTTGTAGATACAATATCAGTTTCGATGAGATTCATGCTGCATGGATGGTTACACCTGTCACCTGTGGATGGCTAATCTTAATGCCTGTGATGACAAGTAGACCACAGAGGAGAATGCAAAGGATTTGAGTGAAGAGCCACTGATGGTGTGTAAATGCCAGAGCCATGACCATGCACTTTTCGGGGGATGTGCTTAAATATTTTCAGAGTTCTCAGAAGTTAGGGCATCCACGGAAAATACTTTTGTTTTTTTCTAGTTCATCTGCACAGGTTGAACACACATTGTTAGATAGTGTCTGTGTCAGAGCATACGTGAACAAATGAATTGGAAAAGTCAATAGACGTATATTTGTATTGCTCTTTATCAATCTAAAAAGATATATTAAACGATAAAATGACAATTCAATTTTAAACAGCATTCTAGTCTCCAGAAGGTGTTTTCTCATCCACCCTCTTAAGCCATTCTCACAATAGTACAAGGGAGAATTTCGATGATGAGACCAGGTCACTCAGCAATATGGTGATGTGGACGAGAGACCTCAGATTTTTGTTTCTCAATTTTTGTTCTGCCTACTATGCCATACATGCTGTAATCATTTAATTAGAATTTATATTTCAATAAATACAAACTAAAGGGTTTTTGCAATTATGTTAAGACACACATGTTAAACTTTGTAATTATGTCAGCAAATTAAAAGAGTTTAAATCCACACCCCATTAGCCAGGCGTGGTGGTGCACACCTGTCTGTAATCCCAGTTTTGGAAAACTGAGGTGGGAGGATCACTGAGCCCAGAAGAGGTGGAAACTGAAGTGAGCTATGATTGCATCACTGCACTCTAGCCTGGGGGACAGAGCATGGTTCTTTGTCCAAAAAAAAAAAAAAAATATACCACAGAGAGAAGTGATCTTATCCTTATGCTATATATATATGTGTGTGTGCATATATATATAAAATTCATATTTTTATTATATATTTATACATATACATATTTTTAGAGAATTACAATTCTATCTAGGTAGGCTTACATTTGAAAAGAGACAATCCTATTCTATTGACTGTTAGAGAGTTAAAGACCCTTCCATAAGCAGAGAGGGCACACATGGGACTTTGTGCCAGGACAGGCGCAGCTGTGGGGGTCGTTCCTTAGCAGCTTTTGCAGGTCTGCTCTACACCTGAAGCGCTGCCTGTAGAAGATGGATGAAACCTGACAATGCCAAAGGGTTGCTGGGCTTAGGAAACACGGGCTCCGTGGGGGTAACTAGATCTTTATGGATCCGGAAGCCACTTCCCTTTCTCTGGATATCTGTCTCTTTGTGTGGCCTTATAGGCTGCATTTTTCTTGCCTGTATGCCTGAGGTCTTGATTTAGTCACACTGGCAGGGTGCAGGCTGGCCTGACTCTGCCAGTGATTTCATGGTGCAGTTACAATGTCATTTAGTTACTTTCCCTTGGAGGAACTGCTACTGTTGATGAAGAGTGCTTTGGACCAAATATTTTATGGGCCCAAAGTTCATGTATTAAAGCCCTAATTCCTAATGTGATGATGTGAGGAAGTGGGACCTCTGGGAGGTAAATAACATCATGAGGGTAGAGCCCTTATGAATGAGACTAGTGTCCATGTTAGAAGAGATGGAGAACATGATTTCTCTCTCCACCGTTTGAGGATACAGCAAGAAGGCAGCCTTCTGTAAGTCAGGAAGAGAGCCCTCACCAAGAACCCTCTCTGCCAGCAGTTGGATCTCAGACTCCCCAGCCTCCAGAGCTATGAAAAATACATTCCTGCATTTTAGGCCACCCAGTCTAAGTCAGAGAGGTAAAATACATAGTGTTTGGTCCACTTATTTGTTATTAAATTCACTATCTATTCAGCTTCACTTATACCCTTAGAAAAGTTTGTGAGTGCAGTTGAATGGGTGGAGAGGGTAGTTGCAGATAATCAGAGAAGGGGAATAGAGACAGGGTGAAGGGAAAACTAGTTCCTTTAAATTGAAAAATGATAATATGATCCACTCATATGAATAGATTTTTGTTCAATTCTGCTCCAATTGTATTATTCAGCTTCTCTAAAAATGGCGCCTGTGTAGGACAGAGTGATATTTACCCTGCTGTAAGATGTGTCTCCAGGCAGATAGCAGGAGATACATTCCTAATTGATTCCAGGAGGGAATGCCACCACCATCACCACTATCATTTATGTTGATATAAAAACTGAAATGTCAATGATTATTTCTGTTCTCTAACATTTCCAATCAGATAATTTAAACATTTTACTCTAAGAATTTTTCAACTCAAATGTTATGCTTCCTGTTTTATGCATTTTCATTATTAACTCTAGTTTCATGAGAGTCCCAGTTTTTATACATCATGTTATAGCTTTGATATTAACATGGTTTTGAGCTAACATAATTTTTGCCAAAGTGTGTATTAACCTAATTTGATCACACAATTTGGTTATTCTTTATTCTGATGCTAAGCGAATCCAGTGCTTTTGTTGTTGTTGTTTATAGAAACCCATTAATTCTATTGATTGTAAAGAGTAGTCTAGAAGAAACTTAAAGAAAATTTAATCAGATTTTACTTTTTCTGTCACAATTTGGCACTTAATAGCTGTATATTTTATTCTAGGTGCATCCTGAAAGTCTTGTAATGCTCACATTGCAATATTAAAGCATAACAGATGAGCCTAACACGTTCAGTGTTTAATTTGTACAGATCAAGATACTATAATTGCAATAACTTAAATGTGTCTAACCCTTGAACAACATAGGTGGGTCCACTTATCTGCAGATTTGCTCCCACCTTGGTTACCCTAGACACAGCAAAACCAACCCCCACTCTTCTTCCCCCTTCTCAGTCTGCTCAGTATGAAGATGATGAGAATGAACACCTTTATGATGATCCACTTCCACTTCATGAATAGTAAATATATTTTCTCTTCCTTATGAATTCCTTAATAGCATTTTCTTTTCTGCAGCTTTCTTTATTGTAAGAATACAGAATATAAATCATATAACATACAAAATATGTATTAATTTACTGCTCATTATCAGTGAGGTTTTCAGTCAACAGTAGACTGTCACTAGTCAAGCTTTTGAGGAGTCCAAGTTATATGTAAATTTTTGACTGTGTGACTGGGAATGAAGGTGTTGGCAGTCAGAACCTCCACATTATTCAATGGTCAACTGTATAATTTTTTAGTGGAAGTGTTGGAATGTTTAGTTTGATACAGCCATGCAGAAATATTTCGTATAAATATGTGTAAAATTAAGAATGTAGAACTAAAAATAATATACTTAGTGTATTAGTTATTAACAGCTAATATTGATTTAGCTCTGTGATAAGAAATTTACATGCATTATCTCATTTGTCACATTGTCATGAGATCAGCATTTTTATTTGTCTTTAATTTACAGATGAGGAAACTAAGTCTAAGAGAAGTTAAGTGATTTACCCAGTATTACATGACAAAAGAAAAAGTCAGAGTTTAAACTTAAAGCCGAGTCTTTGCAATTCTAAAGTCCATGTTCTTAGCTACTGCCTTTCTGAACTTATTAGCCAAACTGAATTCTGAGGATCTCACAAAAAGTTATGCGCTAATTCTTTTGGAAGCATTTATATTATGAGTTTCTAAAATTGCAAATTCTTTTGTACATGACAGGGAGGTGAAATCATGGCAGTTAGAGGCAAACATACTCTGTTTAGTTCCCATTTGTGCTACTTAACAGTTGTGAACCCGAAGAGTACAATTTAGTAACCTCAGCTGTTAAGGTGTGTAAACAAGTTCATTGCATAGAGGTATTGGGAAAATGAAGCAAGAGAATATATGGCTAACAAAAACTATGATTTTCATTTTTTCCCTGTGTGTATATTTAGGGGGAAAGTTAAGACTGCCTACTTATTACCTTTCACTGAAAACAAAACAAAACAAAAGATTAAAAATACAAACATGTTGCCCTTGTTTACTTTGTCTAACTCAAGTTATGTTGATGTCATCCTTTTCTGTGTAACCACAAACACAACTGGTAAAGATTGAGTTAGTAATGTTCCCTCAATTCCGGATTGCCTTCTCTATCATACAATTTCTTTCAGTGGTACCACAATTCTTCCAGGCTGTGATAGAAACTTTGAAATTATATTTTGCTATTTTTTTCTTTTGCATCATTATTTTACATTTTGTTGTCAAATGTTTATTTTCTACAGAATATCTTATGATCCCATGTTTCTAAATTCTAGTCAGTGAGTTTCCTGAATCTTACTCCTCTAATGTACAATCCAAATAACACTTCCTTCTCTTCTTTCATTTAACAAGTAATAATTTAATGTCATCACTGTGTCACATCTTTGGTGTCACTTCTCAGTATGCAGAACACCAAGGGATTCACATCGTAGTGTGATTCTTCTCTTGTGTATTAACACCAATGCTTTCTTGGCCTCTTAACGCTTCCTCCTTGATATTTTTCAGTTCCAGGCACTCTGCCACACACTCTCATGGCCACATTCAGGACCTTGTTAACACCTGGAAATTCTCCATCTTTGAACTGTGAAAGATTAGTATCTGCAATCAGTAAATGGCATCATCTCTCATAGCTTTTATTTCCCAGTGCCTTCTATTCACACTCAAACTTTGTTTTTGTTTTTGTTTTTCTGCCTGCTGCTTCTTCCCTCATTAAGCCACCCACATCATTTGATCCCTTTACTCATGGCATTTTCAGAAACATCCCCTCCTCCTCTTTTTATCTTCACTCACTCTAGTGTGAGTATCTTAACAATTATACAATACACTTTCAGTGTTCCTAGACTCGTGTTGTTAGAGACAGCTGGGTGACAGAATGCCCTGATGCAGACTGGGGGTCCCTGGATACTGAGGGTCTCCAGTTTCAGCTGGCCTCCTCCCTTAGCTAAGAGATAGAAACAAGAATCTTAGCATTATTCTAATGCTCATGTATCTAGTCTTTTCTGGTATAGTTTTCCCCCATACATCTTGATTTTTAGCCATATTAAGTGTTTTTTCACTTCCCAGATAAGCAATTTTGTCTCCAGGCTTTGTGCCATTTTCACTTTTTTTACCTGCCAAACTTTTTGTATCCTTAAATACTCAATTTAACATTCTCCTTTATGAGATTTCAGTTTTTTCTCTTGGACTG